CCCCCGGGGCCTCTGATGCAGCTGGTCCGGGGTGGCCCAGCTGATTCCAATGTGCAGCCGAGCCTGACCACCACTGTTTTAAAGGCACACAAGTGAACCTGGGCTACAGCACGAGACTTCTTCTGATTAATATTGTAGATTTGCTGCCAGTGGCTTCCCATGTAAGACCATTTTTTTTTCTATTTCCCCCTACTCAACAAACACCAGTCAGCGACAGCCTTCAGCGACAGCCTTCAAAGAACCCATCTCCACACTCACGATGCCAACAATTGCCCTCATGTCTCCACGGTTCACCAGGACAATGAGACCACACAGCCGGCCAATAGAAGAGAAGCACATACCTGGTTCTTGGGGTGCCCCTCCAGGCCTCCTCCGTCGCCTGCACCTCGGGCCTGGCTTGCCCAGAAGAGTGATGCTGATGAACCACTAACTGTTGCCTTTGTAACGGAGCAGCACCTTGGCAAGCCCAATGAGAAAGTACTTCCAGGTGAAGGGGCAGGCCTCCAGCATTCAGGCTGGGGTGTTGCTTTGGTTCTTCAAGGGAACCCTGCCTTTGTCCCGACCCAACACATTTGTCGGCTGCAGCCTGCTCTGAACCCCTTCTTCCAACTCCCACCATGTGCAGCCAGCAAAGCAGACTGGCCAGCGAAGAGGGTGGAAGCCAGCATCCGGCCCCCCATCCCTCCACAGTGGCTTGGAGTCAAGAGGGCTTTGAATCTTTCCAAACCCCCACATGGTTGTGCTCTTAACCGTAAGACAAAGTGGAATTTTGCTTTAAGATGGGGAGGAAGAAAATGCCGGCTGCCTGGGTCCACAAGCCACCTGACCCCCCCTCTCTGAATAGTACCCTTTCCACCTCAGAAGGGCTTTGATCACAAAGGGTGTTGGGTTTTGTCGAAAGCTTTTCCTGCATCTATTGAGGTGATCGCATGGTTTTTGACTTTCGTTAATACAGTGGTTACGCTGATTGCCAGCTGTTAAACCAACCTTGCATTTCTAAGAGATCCCACTTGGTCACGGTGTACAATCCTTTTCCTAGGTCGCTGGATTCAGTCTGTTAATATTTTGTTGAGGACTTTTGCATCTATATTCATGAGGCATGGTAGCGTGCAGTTTTCTGATATCTTTGTCTGACTTGGTATCCGTTACTCCCAAAATGAGAGCTGTGGAAAGTACGCATTTCTAAGGAATCTGAAATTGGGCACAGAGGTGCTCACTAACCTGCCGGTTGCTTGAATTGCAATGACCCTGAACATACCCCGTATCCTGGAAGTAAATTCTCCACGGTTCTAAGGCTCGCAAATGCCAGACAGGTAAAGTCAATTAGTGGACCATCTGGATACGAGAGAACCCAGAGCGTTATGCCTTCCACAGCAACTCAGCTGTAGCCCCTTGTTGCCTCACAAGAATGTGAGCCCAGGATCGCCGGGTAGTTCCAGTTTTTGAAAAGAAACTGGAAATCCAGTTCTTTGCCTGTACCATCCAAGTTTTTAATAGCTGGCAACTGATTTTAATTGAATTTTTGGAATAGGTGAACACCAAAATAGCCAAAAAGTATACAAAAGAGGAAAATCCACTTCTCACCCAGAGTAGACGTTCGCCACGCTCAAATTTCTGTTTATCCGCCCAGAGGACGCCCATGCCTTTCTTTTGCACACAGGTGGTGGCATATCATGGTCATTTTAATGCACTTTGGCTTTCTTATCTTGGTGATATTTCTATCTTGATTTGTTAAGAATTCCTGATCCATTCTTACAGCCTCAGGGCGTTCTGTCTATCCACTCGCTCACAGACATGCTATAACTAAACCAACCCCGCACTGACAGACGCTTGGGTTCTTTCCAATCTTTTCCTAGTTCCACATGCAGTGAATAACCCTATGCATTTATCATTCCTTTTACGTGTATATTGGGAGGCTGACTCCCTGACAGCGGAGTTACTAGGTTCCAGGGTATACACATTGCTGATGTTCCTAGGTACAGCCATGAGAATGGTTCCCCCAACAATGTAAGGGAATGAACCTTCCTTCAAAATTCCCCCAGCGCTATCTTCAAAAGACATTTCATCTTTGCCAGCCTGGTAAGTGAGAACTGAGTCATTTCAATCTTCTTTCATACTTACGGCATAGATTGTGGTCGGCAAGCTTTCCAAATATTTAAAAGCCAACTGCATTTTCTGTGAAATGCCTGTTCATATCCTTTGTCCATTTTTCTATTTTTTTTTTCTCTAATTTATCTCTAGGAGCTGTTTATATTTTAGGGAGATTATCCCTCTGTAATAGGGGCTGCAAATATATTCTCTCTGTCATTTGCCTTTTGAATTTGCTTAGGATTTTGTTGTTTGGGGGATTTCTCTGTTTTCTTTCTTTCCTTCCTTCCCTCCCTCCCTCTCTTTCTTTCTTTTTTCTTTCTCTCTTTTACCATGCAGAGGATTAATTGTATATGTGTGTGTGTATCCAATTTTACCTAGATCTATGGCATCTGGATTTTGTATGATTCTGTACTGTTTCAGCCTCCTCGTAAGTTATTTTTTATACACTTAACTCCTCTTCAACCCACTTGGAATTTTGGAACTGTTCCTGGTGTGGAACAGAGTGAGGTGTGGAACTCACTTTTTTCCCAGATGGTTGCCCAGTTGTCTCAACATGAATACAATTTAAAAACGGTTCAAGGCAAACCATACACTGTTAGCCCAGGGGCGCCGCCTTGAAACCTCTGGCTTTGACAGACGCCAAGTTCACACTCACTGGAGAAGTGGGGAGGTGGCTCGAGGAAGCGCTTCACTTATGGAAATTCCCAATGGCCTTTCTGCTGGTGTCTGGGCCCAACACCCACCACAGAAGAAAGAAAAAAACTGCCCTTCCCTGGGCTGTGAGGTGACCCTTGGCAACGGGCTTGGGACCTGCTCCAGTCGGTAGTCAAGGTCTTTATTTACTTGACAGGAACAAGTCAGGTACTTGCTTTAAAGGGGACATCTATCAGGTCACCTGGCACAAGGACAGGACTTCCAGAATGCCAGCAGCTCAAAGGACAGAGGTCAGGAAGTCCTGGCAGGCCTTGTGTCTGGCCTTCCCTCCCCCAGGTGTCTCCCAGTGTCCTTGAAAGTTCAATGGGCACTGTAGCCCCCAGGGAACTCGGAGGGACCAATCTTGGTTCACTAGCAACCATTTCCCCAAAGATGTTCTTATGCAACCCTCATTGACTTGGGGAAAGAGCTAGTTGGCCTTTTGGTAGTCTCACTCCTGACTTGTCTTTACTCTTAAGTTCAAGAGCGGTTCCTAAGTCACTGCTGTTCCTAAGAGTGGTTCCTAAGTCACTGTGGTTGAGGCTCTTAAATGCCCTGGTCAACCAAGAAAAGCGGCACACAGCCCTCTCCCCACCCAGCCACCCATTACCGAGTGCTGGTCGCCAGGCCCTGCCAAGTGCTCACGCTGGTCCTCTTGTTTCATCCTCACAACCAACCAACAGGCAGGTGCCATTGTTCTCTGCATTTTTACAGAGGAGGAAGCTGGGCTCAGAGAGGGCAAGCAACTAGTCCAAGGTCACACAGTAGAGGCGTACAGGAGATGAAGCCCCCAAGACAGGCTGACCTCAGAGCCTGTAAGCTCACAGCCTCTATCCAGCGGGTTTCTATTTAAGGACATGTAGGTTGCTGTGGCTAGATCACATAACATTGTCTTTCACCCCCCTGCCCCCCACCCCCACCCCACACCTGGTTGAGGCTCTGGAAGGACGGAGGCCTCGAGCTTCTGGAAACTGCTGTCCTCACCACTTCTCTGAAAAATTAACTTTCCATCAAACCCGTGCTCCCGTGGAGAAGATTGGGGCACAGCGAGTATGTAAGTGCCCTCATTGAAGACAGTCCCGATCGATACGACACAGCCGTGAGCATTAACGATCACACCAGCACACCGTCAGTCGGGAAGCCAGACGTGAAGACGGCGTACTGTGTGGACATCCTTCCGCCGCCCTCCAGCCTATAGAGCGCCAGAGCCCGCGAAGGGGGCCGCACTGCTAGGTGTCAGAGTGGGATTGGCCCGGGGAGGGGGGGGCGGGGCTTCTGGGCACTTGCCTTATTGGTTGGTTTCTCCGCCTGAGGGTGGGGTCAAAGATATGATGGGTGAGTTTGTGAGAACTCATTGGACCTTAGGCCGAAGCGCACCTTTCTGTACATGAATTAGACTTCCGTGATCTACAATAACATACAAAATTTTAATTAAAAATTATGGTTACAAAGGTCATCGCCACAGAAAATGATCGGCTTTTCTTGAAACACGGGGTCCGCAGTTATCTTTTAATTCCCAAAATGATCCTAAAATTGGCAAGACTTGATTTCCCTTTCCTTCATTTCACCGGAGTCATTAAGTTAGTTTTCCTTGAAATTCTAGTGCAGGTCTGCAGGGGCGGTGGCGGTGGCGGTGGGTGTGTGTGTGTGTGTCTGTTTTCTTGGCTCTATGAGGAAGTCCAGAAAAACTAGAAATATCCATTGTTAACGTGTGGAATCTGGACTTTCAGGATAATAGAAGGAAGCTCATCTACATAAGAAGCAATGAGCCCTGGCTGGCGTAGCTCAGTGGATTGAGCGCGGGCCTGCGAACCAGAGTATCGCAGTTCGATTCCCAGTCAGGGCACATGCCTGGGTTGCAGGCCAGTTCCCAGCAGAGGACGCATGAGAGGCAACCATACATTGATATTTCTCTCCCACTCTTTCTCCTTCCCTTCCCCTCTCTCGAAAAATAAATAAATAAAATATTTTAAAAAAAAAAGAAGCAATGAAAGCAAGCACAACTGTGAAGCGCGGCAAGTCCTAACCTCGTTCCGCACCTGCTGGGACCTGAAAGGTGGCAGGTGCACCCCCTGGAAGGCGCGGGCCAGGAGCTGGATCAGGAGATTTGGGGGGCAGGTTTGCCCAGGTGGCGGAGCAGCCTCAGAGGAAACGCTCACGCAGGGTAAAAAGGGACGAGTCACCCCCCAAACCTGTCCCCACACCCAGACCACACATGAGCTCTTGACACCTTTATTAATGTGATTCACATACCAGTGGCCACTGAGGCTCATGACAAGGCAACCAACAGGGAGGGACCTGGTGCCACACAGCCAGGTGGCACCGAGTGAGGGGTGAGTCCCCCGTGGCTCCGCACAAAGCCCTTCAAATAGAAAGCCCCCACTGTCCCTCGGGCATGGGGGTTCCTCAGACCTGACCGCCAAACGCTGGCAGACAGTGAGGTGCTGCCTGCCGCACGCAGGTTCCAACACTTCTCCGAACCCCGCGGCCTTCCGTGAAGCAAGGGAGGAATCTCAGCAAAGAAATCGGTAACAATGGTAACAGAAGAAACCCAAGCTGCCCACACAGGGGCTCACTTCTCAACGTCCCCGAGGGCAGGACCGCGAGGCTCACAGCTGGTGACCGCAGCTGGCAGTCAGGGGCGCCGCCTCCCGGGCGTCCACTGGAAAGTAGTCCTCAGTCCTGTACAACGTGGGCAGCTGGAAGGTTGGGGGCGCCGGCGTAGACAGCTTCTGGAATGACAGAAGACGGGGCACCGAATCAGCCGGGGCTCAGCAGGAACAGGCAGCGCCGGCTCTCACAGGTCCCGCTGGGAAAGCTGGCACCACACCAGGGCTCGGACGGCTGGGCAGGGTCCCAGAAGCTTGGGCACAGGGCTTGCCTGCCGCTGGGGGACCAGGGGACGGGCTGGCTGTTCTCTCCCGAAGGAGCCATTTCTGCTGCCCGCAGTGTGCGCCATAGACAGGTCTTAGTTCTTTTGTTTTTGTTTCTTAATCGAACCATTTTAAGAAGTGCTTACTTATTTCTGCTGTGGCTTTTGTTGCCGGGAGCCTGTGAAGGGGGGATCCTCCATCAGGCACCCCACCTAGTGGGCGGGGGCCCTCCAGGCTGCGCACGCACCTCGAAGAAAAGCCAGTTTTACAGAGGACCACCTCAAACCTGGCTCCACCTGGGGGTCCCCTGGGAGAGTTCCAAACGACTACGCTCAGGCCCCACCCTGAGTCTGATGTCACTGGCCGGCAGTGTGGCCTGGGCACCTTCAAAGCTCCCAGGGAGTTTCCATAAAGAGCCAGGGCTGATCCCAGTGGCTGCAATAGTCCCAAGGACAGAGGGTCTGCCAGGCTGTGGAGATGCTGCTCCCACTAGGGAGATGGGCAGAGGGCAGACAGGCCTTAGGGTGGGAGTAGGCGGATTCTAATTACTGTCTGAGCCCCAGCGCCCTAAACTCTGCCCACACCGAGACCTCTCAATTGCAGAAGAAAAGCATCAGAGGACTTCAAATAAGGCAGGACACGGTCAGGTGTCTAAGGAGCACATGTGGTCGCCCCACATCTGGAAAACCAGGACCAGCTATTCAGCTCGGCCAAGGGCCAGCCTCATACAAGGACAAAGAGAATGCTACGTCCACTCAGGCCCGGTCAGCCCACCTTGGCCCAGCCCACTTGCAGGACACCTGGGACATAGGCCTTTGCCCCCTGTCCCCCGTCTCCTGGCACCTTTCTGGGCCACATCCCACTCCCACAGATTAGATGCAAGTCTTCCAAGAGCCCCGCAGCCAGAAGGCAACTGGGAAATAGCCATCTCGCCCCTGGGGACACAACGTTGGGGGTGAGTGACCCGGACCTTCAGAGTGTCTTCACTTGTTCCTCCCGAGACCTGGCCCATGGGCCAGTGTCATCTAGAAACACAACAGTCAAGTGAACAATGGCCATTCAAAGACAAGCTCCCTCCTCCCAACACATGGTTTGGGGGCTGAAGAGCATTTTGTGAAAAGACAGGCTTTGGGTCCAGGCATGGGGAGGGGCCCATGAGGGTCCCTAAAGGCCAGTGACCAGGCCACACAGACAGGGCTTCAGCCTCCTCCCTCAAGGGGACAGACTTCCAGAAAAGGAGGAAAATCAGTCTAATGATGAAGGAACCGAGAGGAAGGGGTCAGAAGAGACTTAGAGCAGCTTTAGGTGTAATGGAGTCTTCAGCTCCAGCGAGATCTGATGCAAGACATGGGGACCTCTTTGCTCATGCTGGGCGGAAACATTACTCCTGCATTCAGAAAGTAGGAGAAAGCAATGCAGGGAGGCAGACCCGGCCAGAGGGCCCCGGGGGCTTTTCAGGAGCTGCTGTATGTGCGCTCAGAAAAGGAAATTCTCACAAGGAATCCACAGGCTCTGAGAACGAGCCACTGCAAATAGGCTCGCCTCCCCCCTTCCCAAGGGCCCCCAGCCTGGATGGCGGGGAGAAAGGGGGCAGAGCCTGAGCACCATCTCGGCCCCGGAGCAAGCCCCTGACAACACCTTGGGGTGAGTGGAGAAACATGGGAAAGTGACCACAGCTGGTGGGAGGACTGGACTGCAGTCCACCAGGAACAGGTGGCCTGGGATGAGCCAGGGGGCTCAGAGTGTGGCCTCTTCAGCTCCCAATGCTGAGCAGGTGGGCGTGTGCCATTGTTGCCTGCTCAACCTTCACTTCCCACTCTGGGAAGGGCATCTTGACCTTCTGACAGAATCATTTGTGCCAGCCCCTCAACCCCCCGTACATTGGAAGGAGGCCTGACCTCCCACTAATGATTGATCCAGGGGTAAGCATGTGACCCAAGCTGGGCCAATGAGAAGCAGCCTTGGGACTTTTGCTATTGGGACAGGGATGTCCCTATTCCCACCCAGGCTCCCGTGAGAATGGGTCACAAGCCTGAGATCCACTTCTGCCACCACACTGGGGGGTCTGCCTGAGGATGCCAACACAGGGGAGCAGAGTTGGGAGACAGAGCAGGACAGGGACCTGACAATTTCCTTGGAGTACCTGGGCCCGATTTTGCCAGATGCTGGCGTTCCCCTGGCATTTTCCTGTTCTGGAGCTGCGGAACTCTCCTTGCTGAAGCTGAGCTGACCTGGGTGGCCGGCTCATGCAACCAAGTATCCTGCTTAAAACAAACACCAAAGCCACAGTGGTGTCAGCGAGCGCTTGGAAACCGGATCTTGAATCAGCAGGTGAAAGCCCATCTGTGAGGCAGGAAATAGCCTGGCACCCCAGATGCTGTCGAGAGAATGGGAGCACCCCCTCCCCCGAGGCCTGGCCCCAGCGCAGGTGCCCCATGTGCTGTGGAAAACAGCCCTGCCACACCCACTTTCTCTTGGCTTCTCAGGGCTACCTGCAATGAAGGGGGTTGGCCCCATCTCAGAGGTCACAGGAACCAGGGGCCAGCCAGGCCTGTCCAGCTCCAAGCCCAGGCCCCACTCATTACCCCAGAAGGCTTCTGCCACTGCCTCGACTTCTCAAGGACAGAGCAGCAAACCCAAACCCTTGGGAATCACTCAGGGGACTTCAGAGATCTCCGCCTCCCCTGCCCCCTCACCCCACAGCTGCTCCTGAAAGTCCCCTCTAGGGGCAGGCAGTGTGCAAGCCTAGGTGTCTGACTTGGGGCTCGGGCCCAAGCCTGTAGGCAGGAGCCTTCCATCAGCCCAGGACAGGATGGGAACCTGGAAACCTGACACCCCAGGTCCAGGGCTCTGCCTCACCCCCTACATCCCAGTTACTTAGTCGCCTCCCCCAGCTCAGAGCCCGCCTGCCATCCTCTGCAAGAGGGACCTCCTGGGCACGGGGCGTGGCATGCTCCCAGGTCTCCCCACGCTCCCTGTCTTCCTCACTTCCACCTCGGACACCCGAGTTCCCCAGCCTGCAGCCCACACCCCGCAGGCGCATGTGCCCAATGGAATCAACTGCAAAGGTTTCCCGTGGAAACCAGCCCCCTGACTTCTCTTGGAAAATGAGCCCCTTGTGGCCCCCGGCAGGCCAGCTGAGCAGTGCTGTCCCTGTGGGCCACAGGCCCCCCTTTTCCACAGCCTGCTGCTTCTGGCAGGTGCCTCAGAGTTGGCCCCCAGCACCCTGCACCCCCAAGCAGCTCCTTTTCTGACAAAGACCCTAAACGGCTATCGCAGAAGGCGTTTTCAGAAAACCCCCAAGTCCCGAGTAAGTCCCGGCCCACCTGTATCTCTCTCTTAGAGCCCCAACTGTACTGCCCTGATCCCGACCACCTTCTGTTCAAGCCAAGGTCAGAAACTAGTCCTGCGAAGAGCCACACGGTAAGTAGTTCAAGCTTTGCAAGCCCCCCGGTCTCTGATCCCACCGCTCAACCCTGCCCATTTGGCACAAAGCGGCCACAGACAACACGCACGAACGGCAGGGCCAAGTGCCAAGAAAACTTTACTTGCAAAGATGGTGGCTGCCGGCTTTGGCCTCAGGCCACAGTGTGCCCCGGAATTAATTCTGTCTTCCGAAACAGAACAAGAATAAACCTGTCCCTGTATCTCCCACACAAGCAGGCACTGAGTAACAGGTCAGTGACACAGGCTGCTGGATTCAGGGCCGGGCCTCCCTGGCCAACTGTCCCCAGGCCTGAGGGTTACTTGGCCATCACTGCAGCTCTGGCCTGTGCTTACAGCACCAGCCTCCTCCACCCCCAAAGAAGGCTGTTCCACTGGTGGGCCAGTTCTGAGGCCCCACAGGTTCAGCCCCAGGGGCTCTGAGTCCCTGGGCTGACCATGGCAGGAGCTCTAGTGCCCAGAGGCCTATCCTCATCACCCAGGCCACCAGGCCCCTCTCACTGAGAAAACAACAGCCACACCTACCGAGCCCCAGGTTCCCTACCAGTCTCAGCCCTCACAGCACTCACTCCCTTAAGAAAGGAGTTTCTCGGACTTCTGCCAAGATGGAGGCGTAGGTGGAAACATTGTGCCTTCTCGCACAACCAAGTTTAAAGACAACAAAGTTTTAGCAACAAAAACGCAGCCAAACCACAGAAAACTGAACTACACGGAAGTCTGACAACAACAAACTTTCAGCCAAACCAGTAACAGGGGCGAAGCCAGCAGCAGAACAGGGTCAGGCAGAAAAGATCCACTGGACTGACCCAGTTGGTGACCCAGGCGCACAACCTAGGTGCACAAGCAGCTGTGGGCAGATCCCAGGTGTGGAGTAGCAGAGGGTGGACCCACTGAGGGCACAAGGCAGCAGCAGATCCACTGAGGGCTGACCGTGGTCACACATTTGCGTGCGGATAAACCGGCAAAGGAGCAAGCAGTGAGATGGACCCCGCAGGCCCCAGCGGCGGGAAGCAACAGAGAGGACCACCATTGTCCCTCTCTGACCCCACACCCACATACAGCGTTACAACCCAGTGACTTGGGTGGCCCCGCCCTGGTGAACACCTAAGGCTCTGCTCCTCATACCTAACAGGCAAGAACAGAGCAAAACATTATGGCTCAAGAAGAACTCAAAGCACCAGAGCCCATAACTCTAAGAGACGAAGAAATGGCCAAACTTTAAGATGCACAGTTCAAAACACTGGTGATCAGGATGCTCACAGAACTGGTTGGTTTTAGTCACAAATTAGAGAAACATATGAAGGCTAAACTAATTGAAATGAAGGGAAATGCACAGGAAACCAATAGTAATGGAAAAGAAACTGGCACTCAAATCAAGGGAGTGGACCAGAAGGAAGAAAAAAATGACCAAACAG